GAGACCTGGTGTTGGTGAAACTATACTTGACGAGAGAGGACAGCCTATCCACAATTTGTCAAAATGTTTGGAGTTTTGGGCTGAGCATTTTGAAAAGCAATTTAATCCGCTAAAATTGTTCGCTTCTTCGCCGGCCAGTGATCGCCCTGCTTCGTGGGCTGTCCATTTGGATCCACCCTCTCGTTCAGAAGTCGAACGTGAGATCGGACTGTTGAAGTAGAACAAAGCCGCGGGACCAGATGATCTTCCTCCAGCCCTCTTCAAATTCGGAGGCTCTACTCTTGTTGAAGATTTACATGAATTACTAGTGAAACTGTGGGAGCAGGAGACTGTCCCTACCGACTGGAGCCACTCCGTTATTGTTCCCATCTTCAAAGGAGGCTTGCGCTCGGAATGCGGCAACCATAGATGAATCAGTCTGATCCCCATCGCCTGCAAATTACTCGCCTCCATAATTCTTCACAGACTGACTGGCGCTCGTGAAAGCCAGATTCGTGAGGAGCAAGTCGGGTTTCGTCGGGGTCGTGGCTGCATCGACCACATCTTCACCTTGTGTCAGTTGTTGGAGCACCGTCACACATATTGGCGGCCCACCGTAGTCGTGTTCCTCGATATCAAAGGTGCCTTCGTTTCGGTTGGTCGATGTGCCCTTTGGAATTGTCTACTCAGGAGAGGTGTGCCCGAGAAATATGTAAATGTTATCCAAGCATTATATTTGCGTAGCACGGGAGAGCGATGGCTTGCGGCAAGCTGTCGCCACCCTTCAATATCTTCAGCGGTGTGAGACAAGGATGCCCGATGTCACCTTTGCTCTTCAACTTCGCTGTTGACGAAGCCATGGAGATTACATTTAAAGGACTGACTTGGAAGGTGTGGAGTTACTCCCAGGAGAACGACTTCTTGACTTGGAGTATGCAGACGACATTGCCCTCATCTGTGACAGCTCCCAGACGTGCCAAGCCGCGCTGGACAGATTAGCACTGGCTGTCAGCCGCTTCGGGCTTTGCTTTGCACCATCGAAATGCAAAGCGTTCCTCCAACATTGGCAGGGATCGCCTCCTGTGCTGACCCTTGTTGGCGATCAGGTAGAAGTCGTTCGGAAATTTAACTACCTGGGAAGTTGTATCAGCGCCCTTGGGATCGAAGACGAGATCACGAACCGTATAGCAAAAGCTCGAAGTGCTTTTGCTAACCTTCGCCACTTATGGTGGCGGCGCGACATTACTCTCGCCCTGAAGGATAGAGTGTACAATGCAGCAGTACGTTCGACCCTACTTACGGTTGCGAAACCTGGCCCGTGTGATCGGCGGACATGAAGAGGCTAGTTACGTTCGACCACCGGTGCCTTCGCAGTTTGGCTCACATCTGGTGGGAACACCGCGTGAGTAACGAGCGTGTTCGACGCCTTGTTTATGGCACAGGAAAATGATCTGAACCGCTCAGCACTGTCATTTCACCACGAGGCTCCGATGGCTGGGCCACGTGTTACGCATGCCAGCCCACCGACTGCCGCGATGTGCGTTGTATGCTCACCGGGTATGTGGGTGGAAGAAGAGGAGAGGTGGCCAAGCGATGACTTGGTCCAGAGGAATGAAGGCCCTCACTTCTGTGCTGGCCTCGGTTGGAGCGTCACGGCACCCTGTTTGTTGTCGAAAAGACGGTGAACACGTTTGGCTGGATACACTTGTTGACATGGCAAGGAGCCGACCTCAGTGGCGTTCCTGCTGTGAGTTTCTTTGTCCCTCCCCATCCCTTTTAGCCTTCCCTCCACCTACGATCTGATTTCTTAGCGTAAAACATAATAATTTTTTCTATTTTCTTAGTTGCCGGCTTGTAGCTTATCGGAACGATGCCTATCCGTTGCTGGTAGCTCAGCTAGCATGCAATTTTGTATTTATTTTCCTTTTTCCTTTATGTATTGCGGCCCAGTTGCTGAGGCGTTTCCCATATCTGGCTGGCGTGCATAATGATAATGATGATGATAACAGCACTATGAATCATTAGGAGCAGAACCCGAAAACGCATGTTGTTTAGAGACGCAGCATGGGACGTGTATTTGGAGAACCCTAACGTTGAAAATTGGAGAAATTATGTTGTGTATAGTAATCAATTTACCACAATTGTACGTGAGGACAAATTAGTTTATCAGCAGAGCCTAGTAGAAAAGTTTTGTGCTAACAAATAGCTTCTGTACAGACATGTGAACTGCCCCCGGAATATGAATCGTGGTGTTCCCCAATTAACTCAGCAAATGTATGTGCTAAACTGCCGAGGATGCAGCTAACGTTCTATAGCTGCAATATGCTTCAATCTTTCGATGTGCCACGAGCACAGATCTGGAAGTTTGGAATAATAACTTCAATTCACAGAGCTAGAAGCAGGACTGTGCCCTCAAACCACAGCCAATAATCGTTCTTCCCGTACTCTCTAAGGTAATGGAATCAACCGTTACCGATACGTTTGTGTGTTACCTGGAAAACTGTAATGTCATTACGTCTGAGCATCACGGCTTCCGTCGACAGCGATCATGCACAAGGGATTTATGAATCGCGTAGAATAGCTGGACGTAAACAATTAACACATGAAAGGACACTGACACGATCGACATTGAGTTGTTGCAGGTATTCGATCGTTTAGGTCATGGGATTACCCTTTCTAAGCTCCAAAATTATGGCAGCTGTGACGCTCCCTTGAACTGGATCACCAACTCTGTCCTTCAAGGGCAATTAGTGGTCAAAGTCCGGAGCTCCATATCCTACCCCATACGAGTAGAGTGTGGTGTGTCTCAAGGCTCAGGTTTAGGAACACGATCGTTTTTGGTATTGAATAATGACCTTGCACAAACAGTCGCTGCAAGTTTCCTACTATCTGCTGACGACCTCTAGATATGGCACAGTATTCAGGCGGCTGTCGATCAGAATTAGCTTTAGTGTGACCTAGACATGGTACGTCAGTGGTCCCATAAAATATGCGGCAGCTCAATATGAGGAAATGCAAGATACACTCCATACGATACCAAATATCCATTCCTACACGCTAGGAGCACAAGTAGTGCAGCGATCTCCCGTCGAACGCGATGTGGGCGTACTGGTTCAGGATAACTTGTGTTGTTCCCGTCAACTTTAAAAAGGTATCGAAAATTGGTAGCCAACATGCCGGTTCGCTGCGACAAGAGCTCCAACAAACAATCATCTCTATCTTCCGACAGATGCTCAGTGAGTATGTCCGTCCCCTTATTGAACACACAATTCAGGACTGGCAGGCATGAATAGAACACGACCTCACTGCATTCGACTGGCCTTAGCATCGGGCTTCAGCTACGTCACTGGAATGCGCAATCTACCATAGCAGCAAATGCTGAAACCTTTGGGAGTATTCGGCAGATGGTAGCGTCCATTACGAGGCGACGTAGTAGTGGTGTACTTGATTGTACACAATCCAAATCATTTGTGTCCCTCTTCACTGAAAATCAGGGGAACAAAAACTCGAAAGGTGAACCTCTGAAACCAGCAGAACATTACAGCTGCATAGACTGGCGTAGAAATTTTGTTCAGTTTGCGTGTGTCACTCTTGGAGCCCTCTCCCTGCATCTAGACAAGCCATACGTAAAAGTCGGTTGGACGACGATCTAGGCCACTTACATTTTGTTAGTAGTGTCAGTCCGCCCTACACCAGTGAAATAGCTTGGACTTACTAGTTGTAGCAAATCTACGCGGAGTGCAGGGATACTGCATTAAAAACGCAAAGTCCATTATTTGCTAACTGCATTTTTCATTAACGTTTTCTGATAGCCCACTAGACCCCCCAACGGGGCATGTAAAGCAGTTATTTTTAACCCGTATAAAGTAAGTGTACAATCCAGACGGCTAGTAGTGACGCAACCCATGTTCGATCTGCGTGTCAACGTAATTAATTCGAGCTCTAAAACCTTTGGCCTGCTATCACAAGGACGGTGTAAATTTCTGATGGAAGCATTTGGAGTGTGTTCGCTTTCTGTAGTTCTAGATATAATTGTGACCAGAAAACTCCCTGCTCTATGTTCTTTCACTACTCCTGAGATGGAGACCCTGTTGAGCAAGCAACTGTCAAGGTTCAAGTAAATGAACTAAATTGCACTTTTCAAGACAGACTTTAATGATTAAACTGACGCATGGAGTCGTAAGCTTCAGCATTTGCTTTGCATCTGCCAAATGTAAGTTACTGTTGCAGGGCTGGGTCGACACATCCACTCTTCGCTGCCATCCAGCAATCCTACAAAGTGTGTAGCCGGTTTATTCCCTTAGGTAACCGTATCAAACCTCTTGAAAACAGCCCCGAGGTTACTACGTGAGACTGTAAAGCCCACTTTCCGAAAACACATGGAGACGGCGGGATGGAAGTTAATTTGTTATGGAAGAAGTGTGCGATTCTGCAGTGGGGGTAGTATTACTATATGAACGCTGAACGTATGTGGGGATTCAGTGCACCTAGCAGACGGTACAAATGAAGGCATATGGTGAAACGGAAGATTTCATGACCTAATCTACTGCCGCAATGTGAGGAGAGCAGCACACAACGTTAAACAGTTATTAACTTCCACATACACCGTACAAAGCCACAACTTATGGTTCGTTTTTAACACCTTATTTTTTATGTTGGCTCGTCCGTTGTAGGTCCTCCGGTCCTTGCATAACGCAGGTGACTATGCAGTGGGAACTGAAGGAGTCTCGAACGCAGTGCCGCGGTTCTGGCAAGCTTCATTTCACAAGGCAATGTCAGTGTTATGCAACGCATCAACTTAGTAATCGTAAGTCAACTCTGAACTAGCCATATTCAAGTCGATGTGAACTCAATTTGAAAATTCGGAAGATTCGAGTAAGTCAAATTCAAGCTAACTGCAACGGCAAGTTACAGTCAAACAGAATTCCGGATTCTGGTCTCACTGTGCTTCTCCTTTAGTAGGGGGCTTGCGTTACTGTCGTGATTAGACAACACAAATTTAAGCGAGCAGAGAGACGTACTTTATGAACACCACATGGGCACCTCACGTCATATATTTCATCCTCGTTGTCATCCGATTGCAATGTTTGCTTCTGTATGCAGGAGGCCAACTCTTCATCTTCATTTTGCTTCTCAGCCTGGGTGGTCAGGCCCTAAACAGAAACAACAACAGAAGAAATAAAATATAGATGGTGTGTGCAAAAAGCGTGGGGAAAGCCAAATAATTACATGGTGTGTCAAGTTGACGGCGTTGTGTAGGTCTCTGATGATAGTTGTCAAACTGAATATGCGTGATGTAATGCGCCATCATGGACTAACTGCGAAAAGCATGTGCAAAGATTAAAGCAGCGGTTGCCCATCGATGCGCCAGTCGGATGTCAGTTCAAAACTTCTGTGGTTGGGTAATACCGCAACCAATAATGAATGTAAACTAAGCAGACGTGAGCTGAATGAGACGGTACTTCAAATGAGAAACTCGGGGTCAAGGCGAACCAACACACAAGACTGTAGGGAAAGAAAACACTAGGATGGCTTTTGGATGTCTGAACCATAGTGTAGCCAGAACGAGGCAGCAGGGGCGCAGAGTATTGATAAGGAACAACGGGTTACCATTCTAGCACACGCGCGCACGTACAGAGGACATTTCCATCCCAGAACGAATCACACATTGTCTTTGCATCCGGCGTCACGTCCATGCCCTTAGTACGGGCAAATCCGCAAGGTCTTTTTCACGGATTTGTCTTAGTAAATTCGTTAACGCAAATCGTATTCTGACCGGACTGGATTCGTTATAATGTCCGTGACTTGCTCAATCGAGATTGTTTTCCTCTCCTTGAGATCATTTCCGGAGGCGAAACCAAAGGCGTTTCTTTACAGAAAATCGGGCTCGCCACCACTGCGTCCCTCGCTCCTTTCAGCGTGGGCTCGAGATCGTACGTCGCTGGTGATAAATTCCTGGCTGCTTTACTGAATTTCGTCCTCGGTGCTCACGTTAGTTTCCCTCTTCCGTAGTTTCCGTAGCTTTTCAGTCTCGCCTGCGATTTTTGCCTTCTGCGTCACTACACCCACCCGCTCTGGAAGATGTGGTTCTCTTGTATGCCATGGTCGTAAGGGAGATGTAATTATCCGGCGTTTCGCCTTCCCGGTCGTTTATGGTGCGTAGAGCTTTCCAGCGATGGTTGAACTTGCCCGCAATTTATCCGCTATGTTCCAGTGGATGGTTATTGCACAGCCTTACTTGGTCTCCTTGGTTTAATGGCGTCCACTTGTGTACCACGTAGCTTGTGTCATAGTTACGCTTATTCCATAACTGCCGGGTCTTTTTCCGCATCCTAGGTGTTACTTGCAGTCCTTCATGCTGCGCTTCCAGATGTTCGCACCCGCTATATATAGCCAGACAGGTATCGGGTGCAGTTCTTGGCTCTCTTCCAAAATGCAATTCAAAGGGCAAAACGTAGGTGCTTGACTGCATGCTGGTTCGATAAGCAAGTAGTACTTCAAGCAGCGCTGCTTCTTCCGCCAAAGTCTTGCAGTTCATCCACATCTTCGTGATCCGGTTAAATTGTTTTGTCATCTCGTTCGTCCCTGGGTGGTGCGGTGAAGTGTGTCATTTCTGGATCCTTCATTTGGTCAATACCGCTTTTAACGCTTTGCATGCAAAGTATGGACTTTGCTCAGTGATATCGCGGTGCGGTATTCCACACTGCGCCGGTCCGTTGAATTCGAACGACTGTGCTACGATCTCGCCAGTCTGGTATGAATTCGACCCATCTCGGGAAATAATAAATCATCAACAGGATGAGTGTCATCTGATGGACCCAGTGGCAACGGTCCAAGTACGTCCGCTGCAGCGCTTCGTTGGCTTCAGTTGATTGCATTAGCCCTCTGGAGGCGTCTATCTCACGGCTTGTTCAACAGTTTGGACACCCTGAGTATATGCCGCTACGTCCCTTCTCATGGTTGGCCAAAAGACTCGTCTCGATAATAAATCAAAACTCTCTCAAATCCCACGTGCGCGCTATCATGGACCAGTGGAGGTACCCGTTTTCTTTAACTGCGTGGTATAAACGACAGTTTCATTCTGTTTGTTTCTGCCAGCATATTGCGGTTTGTTGTGTACTGCCTGTCTCACATCCTGAGGATTTCCTTTGCCTCTTCCGATGTTGTATCCGGCTTGGTACCCATTCGTATATGAGTGCAAAGCGACTTTACCAGTTGGTCCTTCCGTGATATTTCGAATAGCTTACTATTCTATGCTGTGACTGTGTACATCAGTATCGCCGTATCATGTATGATGTCGTCCAACGACGGCCGCGATAGCATGTCAGGTAGTAGGTTCTTTATCCCATCCACGTGTCCGATGGTGGAGGTAAATCCTTGAAGTCGATATGCCCATCCTGCAAAGCGTCCTCGAGGATCCTTCGTTGTCATCAATCATGAAGCAGTTTGTAGTCCAACATAGCGTGGAATTCATCCGCTAGGAGGTACATTCTCTACTTTCCTAAGGCTCACACCATAACAAGGCATTTTTTTCCGTCGTGGAGTATTTCTACTTGGCACCCGTAAGCCCTACTGGCATATTCTACTAAACTCGATGGGACACCACTGCACCGATTTTGATGTTGCATGCATCGACTTCCATCGTAAGCTTTGCGCTCGGATTGGGTATGCGTAAGCACTTTGGGGATTGGACTACGCATGCCTTTATGTTGTTAAAGGGTTTCTGTGTTTCGGTTGTCCACACGAACGACTGGCCTTTGTGCAGCAGCCTAGCTAATGGACTGATGCTCTTAGCGAACTGCTGGACGATTCTCGAATCCTGTGTCACTACTCTGAGGAAAGAACGATGCTGGTGTTTGGAGTTCGGAGCCGCAAAATTCTGGAACGTTCCCGTTTCTCTGGTAATGGTCGCATTAGGCCGTTTTCCACGATGTGACCCAGACACACAAAAGACCTCTGAGCACTTTTGGATTTCTTGTGGAATAGGTTCATGCCGCCTTCCTCCGGTCATTGTAGTACGGCCACGAGACTGCTACCATGCTCTTGTCCTGTTTCGGAGAATATAACGATGTCGGCAATGTAAATCACCACACCCCGGAGGTTTACCTGTATCAACAGTAGCTGTCGTCTGAATGTGGCGTGGGTATTGGACAGTTCAAATGGTATCCACAAAAATTCGTAATGTTGTACGCTTACACCGAAAGCTTTTGTGACAGTCCACTTCCGCAAGGAGCAGCTGCTAATATTCTGAGCGGTCTATCAATAAAATCGACTTTGCGTTTTGAAGATTGGAAAAATATTTCTGCCAAGTGGCATCGGGAATGCATCCTTTACTAGCATCTTGTTCAGGTCACTGAAATCAACGCAGAATCGATTGGTTCCGTCCGAATTTTTCGTCGACAGCAATGGTGAGGAGTACAGGATGTTCGAACCCCTGATAATCCTTTTCGCCTCCATCTCTGCCACTTATTTCCTTACTTCAGGCAGGATCCTTTGTGATATTCCCCTGAATATTAGATTGCATCCCCACCTTGGGACTGGCGGCATTCGGTGTTCCATCCACTTACAGAACTCGCATTCGTCATTTGCATCCATGAACGAATGCGCGTACCTCTCTAGCTTGACTCGTATTGTACGATTTTGGAACTCAGGCACAGCAGCTACGGCACCCACCATGCCGCTTTTCAATGCGTTAAGATTGACTGTCTCGCTGCCCAGGATTATCACGTCCATTCCCCAATCGAGTATAGTGCCAATTCGCTTGAGCATATAATTGCCGATTATCCTTTCCGTTGCTTCTTCCACAATGAACATCGAAAGGTTGATACATGTCTATCCTATCCATAATTGCAACCGTTGCACACCTGTGACCTTTAACCGGTGCCCCCAGACCGCATTGAGAGTGAAGATTGGTCTAATGGAACCTCGTCGTATCCTTTTGTAATTAACGCTCTCGCACCTTCTCTACTACCGTAAGGGCTGGCACCCCTTGAATAGTGACTTCCAAAAATGGCACTTTCTACTTATTGGATAGGAACAAGGAAAAACAGTGAAATTCGTACCTCGATGCAGTGTCTGGCAAGATGGCCTATGCGATTGCACTAAAAACCGCGGCGGGAATTTCGGCTTCCGAATTTGTTGCGTTGTGCATCCGTCCTCGGTGAAATCCTCAACATTTGATCCCGCATCATCTGCTTAAATGGACAATGCCACATAATAAAGCTGTAGTTCCACCGCGATAGTGTCGTTATAAATGTTCTTTTGAATGAACGGAGTTATGCATGTGCTCCATCGACAGTGAAGAGGAGAATTCTTCACCCTTAATCCAAAATCTTTCTTGCATCTGTACAATTATGGCCAACAAAAAGGAAATACGCACATTTAACTTGAACAACTTAGTCGCTGAGAAGAGCCCTGTACCGGTTTTTACAGTGTTGCCCAGATGTGACAGGGCGAAAATGCGATCGCTTTCACGAATGTACTCACAGTAGAAATTCCACTGGTTATTTCAACTTGCGATACATCTATGCTCTGCACAACAGAAGCGAGTTGTGTATGTGAAAACATCATTAGAAAAGTTAAGCGGATACTAATAATACGCATATTTCACTTGATCCGAGAAACTGCGTTTGCATGGGCACAGACCAATTTCTACAAACGTAACCATTCTCCTGCATGGGCTACATGCATAATTGGGACATTTGGGCTTGCGATTCATGCAATTGCGTTTCGGCGAATGCTTGAGACGAAAACCAAGATTTGGTAATACGGATCCTGACATGTTTTGGTCCCTTCTTGGAACAGCTCATTGTGGAATCTTTCCCTTGTAAATATAGGGACTATGGTATTGAGATTAAGGTAAGTGGAGAGTTTGCTACTAAGTATTGCTACATTGTCACATGACCTGAGTGTGATTGGTAGTTTGTTCCAAAAATAGCTATATCTGACCAGTAAGAAATCTGAGCGCATGGTTGTACCAGCCCCTGGTATATTCAGTCTACAAGCTTTGTTGCGAAGCTCTCTAGATGAGCTATGTTGTAGTTCAAGTGTAGGCAGCTTGGAATAGGTCTTTCGTGAAGCAGGTTGAAGGGCAGCAATAGGTTGTGCTTCAATCGTCGAATCCAAAGTGTTTGCTGTTGAAATACATTACAAC